GAGCTCATCCAAACTCTTGTTTGCACTCTAAAGCGGATTACCCATCCATCCCTTATCTACCAACATTGAACCCGAAACATGTGGCAGTTGGTGTTGCTATCTAATCTTTCCCTCTGCCTCTCCCTACTTGCCAGTCCCTTCAACCCAAGTGCTCTGCATTCCTCTGGCCTCATGCATTTTCTATTTCCTTTAGCCTGTCACTTTGTAGCTTTTATAGACGTGCCATGTTGTTACAATCAAAATAAACCCCACATGTACTTCAAGACTGAAGAGAGGATCTCTGCAAATTCATTCATATTCTGGGTCATAGTTTCAGAGAGCAGCATATGCATTAGATCCATGAAAATTCTGCTAGCTGAACAGGATGTTCCAGCAATTAGACAGACAAGTAAACATCCTTTTCAAAAAAAAAGCTTTTAAAATAACTAAATTACATTGAACTATAATAGAATACTGAATTTAAAAGCTGTTTAAACTAATTAATAGATCAACCAAGCACTATCTGCTCATTTATTCTTTCAATTGTTCCCTTATCTCTGGGCATGGTGCCCCACTTGGAAGATCATTTAATCATGGAGCTGCAACCTCTTCCACCAAGGACAACTGACTTGAATTGTGGAATTATCTACTTTACAAATATCGCAATGCACCTTCCCCCACAATCCCCAAAAGAAAGGGATCTCACCTTGTTTAACTGCAAGTGGGATCTTGAAATCACAGCGATGGTATCTGTGGGGGGATAAAAGTTTTAAATGAATTCCCAGAGTCATTGACTCCATAGAACGGTGATTTTTCACCCCTCCAGCAGTCAGGAGAGTTAAGACCCAAAAAACTGAACTCAATACCTCAGACAATATCAGTTCCACACACGAAATGTCTGAGGTGTTGAAACCACCCATTACATACAGCTGACATTTAGGACAGTCAGAATTCCTATCCCAACCTGTAATGTCAGATGCAGTTCAGAAGAAAAAGAAGTTAACTCTCAAACAAACTGGAGATTGCTCAAAACTAACAAACATTGCCCTGCGATTGCAGCGGAGTTTTAATTTAAATAAACTACACTTCAGTTTTAACAAACATGGGGCAGTGACTGAACAAAAAGACAGACAGTTACAGGCACAGATCTCAGCCAATCTGCAGTAATACTACAAAGTTAATGTGGTATTTTGCCTATCAATTGAAAGTTAAGGCATCAGTATTAGTCCGCTAGAAACTTGTGGCCGCATCAAGCTCAGTTTTACCACTCTTCTCAAGCATACAACAAATGCTGTTGCTCGAGTTGTGCATGTCGACTTGGTATACAAGGCATCTGCACTTTGCTCAGCATCTGTTTAGGCCAATATTTTGCGTACAAGTTGACCTTTCATTTTACAGTTAATAAACACATTTAGGGTTTCATTCTCATTAGGAGTTGACCTCAATTTTTCAGCTCACATACGCGTTTAAGGTTTACTCACGCATAGAATCGAGCAAGCAATGCCAGCCACATTGCCAAGAAAGTGCACGGACATTTAAAACACAAACAGCGGACTATTTGAACAGAAAAGGGTCCTCCTGCACAGGTGGTTCATTTTATGCTCGATGTACAAGTCAACCCAGATTTTGTAACAATTTCATGAAGCTTCACACGTTCACTTCTTTGTTGCAATCCATGGTGCACCTCTCCGACCACGCTGGGATTATTACCCAAGGTAGCCTACATTATTCAAATACTTTGCTCAAGTTACTACATTGGTGGCAAGTTGCTCACCTGTTAAGAGGCATCACACTTGAGCCCACACTAACCTGGTATAATGAACAGAGGTGTACACTTTCTGGCAGGCATTCACTGGACAGCCAGCTAGAGCGAGAACACTGATCAATTTTGACCATTCTCCCACCTTATCTTCATATGGCTGATTTGCCACAGCTTGAGCTGCTGGCCCCAATGAAGAGTTTGGCCCCAGAGTGCATCTATCCACTAGGTCTTGACACAAGTGATACTTGGGAGAGTACTGCCCATGAGGCCCATCATACTGAACAAGGTATATTTTCTACTTGCTTATTACTGAAGTAGCTTAATTTCTTCTTCAATTCAAATGAAGATGCACATGTGTGCCATTAGAAGCAGTGCCAGAATATACTGAAATTGCTCTCAACATTCATTCTGCAGCACTGAAATATACAGGCCCACTTCAATAGCAGGGCAGTCTGGCAGCAACTAACACATTCAGAAAACACTCTTGCAGCAGCTGCAAGCCTTCTGCTGAGTGATCTATAGATGAGATACAGTTCCTTGAGAGTCAGGATGGTTTCTGTACTTCTGTCAAATTGCTGTATTTCAGTCAGGAATCTAGATGTGGAATGTGCCTCAGCTGAACAGTCAGTCAGTGGCAACCCTAGCACGACCTTCACACAAAATCTGACATCCAAATGCTTCCACATCCACACAGACCATCAATTTTTGCCTAGATTGCGAATGCAAATACTTAAAATTACATTGAAGTTTTTTTTCTTACTTAAAAATGACAGTACTGTTTAAAAAAAATATGACAAAATAGAGTTATACAGCACAGAAGGCTAAGTCTAGAAGTCCCACTTGGACATAGGCATACTGCTGCAGTTGACACTCACATATTGAAGTTGTAATGACCTGGGTAGTTCGTGTGAAGGACGAATTTCTTCACTTGATGTGTGGTGGCATCAAACAGGACATCCTGCAGAGGAAAAAAAAGACAGATACAAGTTGTAGAAAGTAAACATTACAAAGCTAACCCAACAAGTGAGACTGCAGATACGCACCACTCCCAGAGTAAAGTAGTTGAAAAAGTAGTCATTGCACTTGGAGGGAACCTGCTTGTGAGGGGATGGAGAGTGGATCTTCATCTGTGGAAACAAAAGCAATCAGTCAATAGGCATAATGTGCATAGATCAATGTTGCATAGGAGCAAGCCTATCACTACACAAGGCCTACAGTAATGTTGGGTAAAACGTACATGGTTTCATAACTAGAATCTCCACAGCCAGTAAGGAGATTTTTGTATTATCAGAGAACGCTGGATATGGGTTCATAGTTCTCAGGCCCTGAATTGAAACTGTACAGAATAGAAAAGTGCTGTCACTGCTTAACAGTCACTAGTATTAGTCAGAAGAAGGAAATTACATGACAGGAAGTGTGCACATACTGCTTGAAAAGCAATTTGCACCAGATGCTACAATTCCTAAGAGCTGTCACAAGTACATTCAGTTTCCGACTTACAGTACAACCCTCAGGGTTTAACTTTCACAAATAGAGCATAAAGGTTGAGCCATGACATATTCAGCATCCACACCTGATCCCCAAGTCACAATTACCTTGTCCTCTGACTTGTAGAAGACTTTATGTGGAGATCCCAGTGCACTCAACACATCCTGGCAAGAATCCCCAAAATACACACAGCGTTCAAACGTATGCATCTTTGTATCTGCCAATACTCCAGGGGCACAACCTGCAACCAGAAAGAGGGGCAGAGGCAGCTTAGAAGCAGTTCAGCACACTAAAGAATTGGGAAACATACTGCAGCTTTCTCTAGAGAGCAAAAGCATTCAAGTTAATACAATACTGGCACCTGGTGACAAAGCAGTTTGCCTCAATGTTTTGCACCATGAAATGTCCATGTTCAGCTTTCAAACAATCCCTACCCTCTTCCCAATGAAGCAGGATCTCAGCTGGATTCAGCAAGTGAAAATTGAATACACTGCAAGGCTACTGTACTAGCCTTAAATAAACACAAGCAGATATTAGGAAAGGGGAAACCTGTCAGCGTTCTCAAACAAAAGACTGTCTGACTTCAAGTGCTGAAGATGGAGAAAGAGTCCTCAATAAATCACCATTCTCTGTAGCTGTGCTACCATGTTAAACAATAATAAATTCTGTAGCAGCCAACAATCTCTCAGTTAAACTCTCAAGATAGCACAATTTAAATTAAATCCTGCATCTACATGGCATTCCATATTTTTAACTAGCATTTTAAGAATTTGTTCTTGCAAATCTGCCCTTTAAGAATCAAGCTAATAAATGCAGACTGAATGAATAAACCAAATTCCTATTTTTACTGCATGGAACTCAAAGATTGTTCACGTTTTGGTCATTGCACTCAGCAGTTCCATGTACCTTTCTGATGCAAACTGCAGATCAGCAGTTTTAGAGATAGCAATAGCTTCATTATTCATAGACTATTAGCTATGACATTTTTTTTTAGAATTTAAGAATCGGAGATGCGAGCTTCTCCAGCTGGGCCAACATTCATTCATTCCCCTCCCCCACCAAATTGTCATTGACATGCTGCTGACTAGCTGCCTTCTTGAATCACTGCAGTCAATTTGGTCTAGGTACGCCCGCAGTACAGTTGAGAAGGCAATTCCAGAATTTTGAACTAGCAGTGAAGGAATGGCAATAAGTTTCCAAGTCAGGGTGGCAAAGCAGCTTGGAGAATAACTTGCAGAAGGCTTTTTTTAAAATCTGCCGCCTTTGTCATTCTAGATGGAAGTGGCCATAGACTTTGGAAACAGCGGTCTAAGCAGACTTAGTGAATTTCTACTTTGTGCTCTAGTTTGTAATTAATCCGTACGGTTGGAGCTCCTCAATGATTTAACAACCACAGCTAAAAGAGACCAAGGTCAGTACCAGTTAATTGAATGCAGTCAGGAGCTGCATTGGGAGGACTGTTGTGAGCCAGCACAGATACAAAAAGGAACAATGGCCTTCTTCTGGGTTGTAACCATTACACAATTTTATTACATAAATTACAATTAGGGGCTATTTAGCTGGCATCCTCACCCAAATATCACCTGTGATTTTGTTATCTCCACAGTCAATCGCTCCATCATTCTCTTGGCCAATCTCATCCTCCGGACTATTCCCAGTCTAATAACAATGATCACACACAGGTGGAAGCTGGCTTTTGTTGTGCATTAGGCTATCAGCAATAAATTGAATTACCACTGCGAGATGCACCTCAAAAAGAGTCAATGGGGCCTCAATTGAAGAGTGGGCAGGCAAGAGACATATGATCAGTCAATTTTTATGAAAACATGATGCTATTGAAAGTAACTAAATAACATTAACTAAATTAATGTCCTGCTTATTGAATTCATCCTGAGACACACCAAAGGAATGAGTCAAATTGAGGTTTTGACAGTTCATAAATTTCAAATAATAGGGCTCTAGTAGAGAGCTACTGCAAGTTTGTGATAAAGATGTTCCAATGGATAGCTTCTGGACCAGCCACAAAAATGTGGTTAGTAGTGTTGGACAGAGTTGAGTATTCTGCAATGACCAACAGCCAGGTAACCCAAAACCGGGCCATCATTTACAAGGCTCAAGTAAGGAGTACAGTGGAATATTCTTCACTTGCTTAAGTAAAGCTCCAATAACGTTCAAAGTTGACACCAAAAAATGAAGCCCATTGATTGTTATTCTATTCACTATGTCATGCATTCATCCCTCCATCACTGGTGCACAGTGGCAGAACTGTGTACCATCTACAAAATGCATTTCAATAACTCACCAAGCCTTTTTCAACAGTACCTCCCAAACCCACAAACACTAACACCAAAAAGAACATGGGTAGCAACACATGGGAACATCTGCAAGCTCCCCTTCAAGCAACACACTATCCAGATTTGAAATATTATTGCTGTCCCTTCACTGTCACTGGGTCAAAATCCTAGAACTTGCCTCTGGCAACGCCCCCATTCCTTATAGCACCGAACGTATCTGCAACATAAAGACTTCAGCTGCTGAATACTCAAATGCTGATCCCATCGATGATATTCATCTTGTGAATAGCTGAGAAGTGTAGGAGAACAGGAAGTACAGTGGCTTTGTTGCAATTATACTTGAGAGAAGATCTCCACTTGGATCCAACTGGTGGACATGCTAATTATTTATTGAAGGAGTGGGCAAAATCCCGAAGGACAGCAAGCACTGCACACCCAATGTACCCAAGCAGGGCCAGAAGCAATTCTAGACACAGACTGTTTAGTTGATAACTAAGCAATGATGTCCATGTTTTATCATGCTACCATGTGGCTAGACCTCTGGGGAGGTAATGTCAGGAAGACATTACCTCTTTTCAACCAACAGATCAAACTCTGCCCTCGTTAGAGGGGGTCAGGATGGAAACGCACAGCAGAAAGGCACAGGCACACCAGGGATAGGAAGTACTTTTGAAGAAAAATTTGTCCCAATTACTCAGTCAAATGTATTCCAGCTTGCAGAAAATGAAAAGCTTTCCTGGTGATGTGGGAGAACTATTCCCATACAGTATCAAGTAGAGGCTGACAGAATAACAACACTACATGAAGTGGCAAAGTGAGCTAACACATCCACTCCAAGGCTCTCAGATAGTTGTCTTACAATTACTGCAGCTCCCATTTAGGATTTACCTACCCATGAAGCGTGTGCTAAATCTAGCTCTTTCCAACCTCCACAAAATATCCAGAAAAATTAAAACTGTAAACATACAGGTCAGCTGCACACAGAACTGTCAAGGTTCAGAAATTGTAGAGTTTCCATTTATGCGTTCTCACTACCTTACCATTGAGAGTTTAAATATTTAATGATAATTAGTTAATAATAATTATTATAGTAACTAATTCCTTTCCCTCATGGTGCTCAAGCTCTAAATCTATTAAGAGGCTAAGTAAGGGAAGCATTCAGAGACGTAAAATATTAAGACAATATACAGATGGGAAAATTTGCATTCTCTCAACATTTGCTTTGCAGTAAGAGAAGCCATTAAGTACTTAAGGAAGAGTATCAAGAATGATAAATTATTTGGAATACTCTGAACCAGGGTATTGGAGCAAAAAAAAAAAACAGTTGTGTCCTCTATATAGCAGGGAGTGTGTCACAGTATTAAACAGATGACTGCTGATTGTGAAGAAAGAAAAACATCAACTCTTATTGCACACTCCCATAGCACAGGTACTACACATGGGAGTCAAGCACAGAATATACACAGTCCAAGCCCGATCCCACTGGTCAAGGACACAGGATATATCCCCCATGTTACCCTCACAGCTAACTCAAATGTAGTTAGAGTCAGAGTACAGCACGGGAACAGATCCTTCAGTCCAACTTGTCCATGATGACCAGATAACCTAAATAAATCTAGTCCCATTTGCCAGCATTTGGCCCATATCTCTTTAAACCCTTTCTAATGATATATCCATCCAGATGCCTTTTAAATGCTGCAGTTGTACCAGCCTCCACCACTTTCTCTGGCAGCTCATTCCACAGATGCACTACCCCCTGCATGGAAAAGTTGTCCCTTAGATTTCTTTAAAATCTTTCCTCTCTAACCTTAATTCTATGCCACCTAGTTTCGGACACCCCCATCCACTGGGAAAGACCTTGTCTTTTCACCCTATCCATGTGCCTTATGATTTTATAAACTTCTATAAGGTCACCCCTCAGCCTGACACGCGGGGAAAATAGCCCCAGCCTATTCAGCCTTTCCCTACAGTTCAAAACCTCCAACCCTGGCAACATCCTGGAAAATCTTTTCTGAACCCGTTCAAGTTTCACAACATCCTTCCTACAGCAGGGCAACCAGAATTGTTCTTAGTATTGAAAAAGTGGCCTAATTAATGTCCTGTACAGCTGCAACATTACCTCCCAACTCCTATACTCAATGCACTAACCAATAAAGGCAAGCATACCAAATGCCTTCCTCACTAGCCTATCTACCTGCGACTCCACTTTCAAGGAACTATGAACCTGCACTCCAAGGTCTTTTTGTTCAGCAACACTCTCCAGGATCTTACCATTAAGTATACAAGTCCTGCCCTGATTTGCCTTTCCAAAATGCAGCACCTCCCATTTATCTATCTAAATTAAACTCCATCTGCCACTCCTCATCTGACCAAGATCTCTTTGTTCTCTGAGGTAGCCTTCTTTACTACCCACTACACCACCTATTTTGTCATCTGCAAACATACTAACCATATTTCCTACATTCACATCCAAATTATTCATATAAATGTCAAGAAGCAATGGACTCACCATCGATCCTTGTGGCACAACACTGGTCACAGGCCTCCAGCCTGAAAAGCAACCCCCCACCATCACCCTCTGTCTACCTTTGAGCCAGTTCTATATCCAAATGGCTACTTCTCCTTGTATTCCATGTGATCTAACCTTGCCAAGCAGTCTACCATGAGGAGCCTTGTCAAACACTTTACGGAACCACAGCTCTGCCCTCTATCCCCTTTGTAACTTCAAACAACTCAAGTTAGTGAGACACTATTTCTCATGCACAAAGTTACACTGACTATCCCTAATCAGTCCTTGCCTTTCCAAATACATAAATCCTGTCCCTCAGTAATCGCTCCAACAACATACCCATCACCAACATCAGGCTCACTGGTCTATAGCTCCCTGGCGTTTTCCTTACCACCTTTCTTAAATAGTGGTACCATGTTAGCCAACCTCCAGTCTTCCAGCACCTACCTGTGACTATCGATGACACAAATATTTCAGGAAGAGGCCCAGCAATCACTTCCCTAGCTTCCCAGAGTTCCAGGGTACACTGGGTCAGTTCCCAAGGATTTATCCACCTTTATGCATTTTAAAGCATCCAACACCACCTCCTCTGTAATATGGACATTTAAGATGTTGCTATTTATACTCCATGTTGTATGTCTTCCATAATCCTGCTTCATAGTAAACACTAATGCAAAATACTCATTTAGTATCTCCCCATCTCAAATTCCACACGTAGGCAATCTTGCTGTTTAAGGGGTCCTATTCTCCTCCCAGTTACCCTTTTGTCCTAACTGTATTTGTAGAATCCCTTTGGATTCTCCTTAACCCTATTTGCCATGTCCCCTTTTTGCCCTCCTGATTTCCCTGGAGTGTACCACTACTGTTGTTATACTCTTCTAGGGATTCACTTGATCTCTGCTGTCTATGCCTGGCATGCTTCCTTTTTCTTGATCAAAAGCTCAATTTATCTAGTCATCTAGCATTCCCTACACTTCACAGCCTTGCCCTTCACCCCAACAAGAACATACTGTCTCTGGATTCTCATTATCTCATTTTTGAAGACTTCCCATTTTCTAGCTGTCCCTTTACCCGAGACCATCCGCCACCACCATACCTCGCCAACACCCCCCCACCAACCCCCTCACACAAGTCAACTTTTGAAAGTTCTTGCTTACATATGGAAACTTCCTGACTCGCAGTGTTTGACTTTACAAAACATGGTTAGTTTAACCACTGAGCATTCTTCAAAATGAAAAATTCAACAAATATTATATTGTTTGCCCTTCAGACAACGCTACAAAGATCATTAAACCTACATTTCTAGTCGTACAAATACTTTGATCTTTATCTTAAAATAGAGATTCATACTTGCGTATTGCTCCACTTGTAACACGAGACTTTCTTGCCTCACTGATCCAAAGTAGTTGTACCTTCTGCTCGAGTTGGAAGGAACAGGCTACTTAACCATAGGAATCATCATAACCAAACTAAATCTTATCGACATACATTGTTCACATGCAGTTTGCAGTCACCAGAATTGTTGAAGATTGAGAAATATAAAATTTTCCTCTTCTAAACCAGTGACAGATCATTTGTGGTACCTCCAGGATAGAGGTTAACCGACTGAGCACAGACTGGGAAATAATCATCCCTAGTTTAAATGCTACAGAATAGGTCTCAGCTAGGCATACATTTAATCACCTTAACCAGCAGGGGGAGGTGGAGCACCATTCCAGTAGAGATTCAAAAATACGTTGCTCTAACTTTGGTGAAGAACTCCCTGCTGGTTTGAAGTCACTCAGAACTACGAAGCCGCCTACCTGGCATTCCTTCATACCAATAAAGCTCAGGGGTGGCCCTTATGGCTTCATGCAGAATGGAACAGTATGAGAAAGCACACATCACCATTCTGGAAAGACAAACTGCTTTGTTCCTGTGAGAGTTCAGTCTGAAAAGCATCGCAGCTACAACTTGTATTTATCAAAATCTGACCTCAGCAAGGTGATTTAAAATGCAAAACTCACGAAGCCCAAGGACTCAATCTATAAATGGTGTATATTGACATAGATTAAAACATACTTTAGTGAAATCTTAACTCACATTTTCACAACTATGCAAGTAGGGGTTTCCAATTTTTAAGATTACAAAGCATTAAGCTCAGTTAGACACAGTGTAAATATTTCTGAGCCATGACGATCAGAAAGATACACCCTAAAAGCAGTCAAAAAGCCAGATATTGAATGAGTTTGCAACATTTTAAACTCAAACTATTTTAAGAAGCAAATGCCACTTACAGCACAAGCTAAGCAATCACCTGCAGATTTAAAAAAAAACCGCCATTGTACACGACGTAGGAAGGTTTGCTGAAGAGATCTCCCTGCTCTGCTTTAAAGAAACTGGCATTCTCAAAACCCCTCAATTACCAGAGCAGAGAGATAACAGTCTCAATATGAGGCTTACTGAAACATTTGCTGAGACTCAGAGTTCAACATAGAGGCCTGAACTCAAAGTTCTGACTCAGAACCAGGATTGCCAACTGAGCCAAGCTTATGTCAAAAGTCATGCAAGATAACACACTGCTGGTAGTATTCACAGAAGAAAAAGTATGTGTTTATCAGGCTGACCTCATTAAATAATGCTTGAAAGATTCACCTCAGCCAATGACAAGCACTGGACACCAGCAGGGTGCGCATGCCATCACCTGGAGTGGCTCCTATTGTTTTACAGCAACAGGATAAATTTCCTGGCTTTCTTCCACACCACAACTGAAGAGCTACATATAAAAGTGTACCCAGGAGTTCACTAAACAGAATGAATGAACCATTACTTTAGGACTCTTATTAAGTGGGTCAGATTTCCTCTTCCTCCATCAATACCAATGATTTTTGTTTTACCTGCTGTCAGTAGTCGCAGACGGAGGCCCAGGGGTCCCATGAAATCGCTTAATACTTCAACAGTTTCTGCATACACGTTACCATAGAAACAACTCAGTGGCATCATAGGAGCTCTATAAAAGCCAGATTATTGCACTTAGTAAATGTAATTTGAAAAAAATCCCACTGAAATATACTACCTTCAGAGCCTCAGACTTGTTGTATAATTTCAGTATTGTGTTTTTACAAAGTACTACTGTCTGGATAACATGTTGGAGTGAATATTAAACTCGAGAATGAGAATACTTTGTTGTGTAGCATAACTTTAATTAGACTTTAATATTTTACAGAACAATACTCATGCACATACACAGCAAGCAAGTGCCATTGACTAACCAAGCCTAAGCTTTAACAACCCCCGCCCCCCCCACCATAACAAGGCTTTGGGTAGTCATAAAATACATCACAAAGGTGCTGCCCATTAAAGGGGCACTGTTGCCAAACACATTCCAGGTTTCTCATGCAAGGCCAATATAGAAATTACCAGAAAAGTGCAGCTTTAGGCATTTGTTTTGAAATTGCCATAATGTTGATATTCAGTGTTCAGTTCACTAATTTTCTGCTTCATTAAAATTAACGTACAGCACAGATTTTTGTACATTGGAAAGATGTGTTGCACAATGGGAATATGACACGAGGCAACAAACAATTGGGGAAATCACAGGATATTCATCTCTTGGACAGTCTACTTACTTTGTATCTTGTAGACTGTTTGCAGTGTATATATACATGCGTTTCACGGTAGCACCATGGGGAATCTGCAGGGAAGCCAGGCCATGGGCAAATTTGGGCTGTGTAAACACAAATTCGTCAAACATTTGTTTTATTAAAATCAGCAAGAGCTAATGACCAAAAGGGAAATAAAAGAAAAAAAAAAGAAAAAAGTCCTGATCCCACTAGCCAAGCAATAAGCCTATAACTCCCTGGTTACATCCAACTCGCTCCTTCCACCAAATCTACAGCTTTCATCATTCTCAGTCCTCAAAGCCTCCAGTAGTCCCCATGCAGATCTTTAACATGGATCTTCAGGATTGCCTCTCCACTGTTATAAAATCTAAAGTAGGTTGTGCTTATTATCCCGACACTTTGCATGCATCCTGCCTCACTATCTGTCCCTCTGCCCTCACCTCTTCCTTTTGCACACCTTGAATCTATTGTGCCTCAATCTCAGCCCCGGGACAACTCAATTTCCCATTCCCTTCATGTCCTGCCCAGTTTAGTCACTGTGGGACTTCTCTTCTTTGCAGGAAGCACTTATTTTCTTGGTGAAAAACAAAGGTAAAAGTGGCACTGACCCATAACCCCACATATTCACGACTTCTGCATTAATCAGGTTCTTCCAGGAATTCTCCCAAGGGAGTGGTTGGCACAATATTGGAACTACAACTAGGAGAGGTATTGAACCTAGAAGACAATGAGGTGAAAGATTATCACTTCCCTTTGGTTCAACTCACTGCACTTGCCAATGCAGGTCCACAGCAGCATGTCTCACCGCTTCTACCTCATGTTTCATACCCGAGAGAGACACACAGCAGACTGGCGGAAGGACCTAACTGGGGAGGAGTGGTTAAAAACAAAGTGGGACCAGAATTCACCGTCTTTGGCTGAGCAGCTATATTTCCCACTCGATTAGATTCTGCAATGGAAGTAGTACAGGCCAGGAAAATTTTTAGGTCCACTGAAAAATGACCTAAACTTCAGCTTAGGAAGAGGATAGAGGAATAACAGAAAACTGACTTGGCCAGATGCGCTGAGTGCGTTTTTAAACAACACAGAGGGGGACCTTTTGGCCCATCATGTCCACAGTGGTCAAACATCCATGTACTCTAATCCCATTATCCAGCACTTGACCCATTGTTATTTCCGATGGCATTTCAAATGCTCATCTAAATAGTTCTTAAACGTCTTTAGGATACCCACCTTGACTTTGCTTTTAGGCAGTGAATTACACATACTTTTAATGTTCTGGGGAAAAACATTTCTCAAATCTCCTGTTCCTTACCCTAAATCAATGCCACTGTTATCAACGCCTCTAAAACCACTCTACTAAAGGGAAATGTTCCTCCCTATCTACCTTGTCTGTGCCCCTCAGAACTTTGTACATCCCAGATTCCCCTCAGCCAGCTCTGCTTTAAGAGAAACAGCACCAGCCTATCCAGCCTCTCTTCATAACTGAATCACCCTAGTCCAGATAACATCCTAGTGAAACAAAAACAGAAAGCTGTTGGAGAAACTCCAAGTCTGGCAGCACCTGTGGAGAGAAAGCAGAGTTAACGTTTCGGATCCATTCTTCGGAACTTCTGCATCGTAACATATATAGCACCATTATAACCTCCTTACACTTGTATTCAATGCCTTGACTAATAAAGTCAAATATCCCTATGCCTTACTAACCTTACCTTCGTGCCCTGCTACCTTCAAGTATCTATGAGCATGCACACCAAGGCCTCTTGATCCTCTGCACTTCCTAGGGTCCTTCTGTTTATTGTTTGCACCCCAAAATGCATCACCTCAATTTTCAGGATTGAATTCATTTGCTACTGTTCAATCCATCTGACCAACCCAACAATATCACCCCGAAATGTTACCTCCTCACTGCTTGCCATACCAATGTTCATGTAAACTGCAAACGTACTGATCATACCTCCTGCATTCAGGTCCAAATCATTAGTGTACACAACAAACTGCAAAAAGAGTCAACACCGAACTTTGTGGTACACCTCAGGACACAGGATTCCAGTCACAGAAACATCCTTCAAACATGACCTTCCGCTTCCTACCACTAAGCCAATTTTGGATCAAGACTGCTAAACTGGTTTTAGCTTCTTAACCAGTCTATCTTGTGAGACCTTGTCAAAAGACTTAAAATTCATGCAGACTACATCAATTGCAATATCTTCAGCTACACACCTAGTCACCGGTTGGAAAAATCAAATCAAACTTGTTAGACATAATTCTCCCCTGCCATGCTGACTAGCTTGATTAATCTTTGCCTCTCCAAGGGGAGGTTAATTCTGTTTCTCAATTTTATCCAAAAGTTTCCCCATCACAGATGTTAAATTCATTGGCCTATATTTGTCTGTTTTATCCTTATCACCCTTATTGACTAATACTACCATATTAGCAGTGCTCCAACTCTCTGGCACCTCTCCTGTGGCCAGTGAGGATTTGAAAAAATAAATGTCCAGGCCTCTGCATTCTCCTCCCAACAGCAGCCTGGCATACATCTCATCTGGGAGTACCATTTTAATCCTGAATAGGCCCTACTCTTTTATTGGTAATTCTCTTATCCCAGCACATTTATAAAACCCCTTTAAGATGTCCTTGATGTTGCCTGCCAGTGTTTTCTCATGTCCCCCTAGTTTTTTTTTGACCAAAAAGAATTCTCATCCTCTGTGTCTCTCATCCCCAAACAGCTATCCTTCCAGATAACGAGTGATGACAGGCTTGTAGGTTGATAGTGCTTTACAGCCAGCTTTATCCAAAATCCTTAACTGATGCTCATAGCAAGAATCAATTGATAGCGATACAAGGTAGAAAACTTGACTAATCTTCTAATTCATGTAGAGAATTTTCAGTCTTGGCAGCTCCATAATGTAAATTTAATCCAAAACTCATGATCAAGTTTAGAGTTTCCTGGTTGGTGCCAGTTCCCAAACTGGGCTGTGCTTTTACCAACTAAGCCATCATTGGTGGGAGTGGTGGGGACTTGTGGATTTGATCAGAAGAAAGCAATGATACAATCCAAACAACAGACAACTTCAGCCCAAGTTGGAGCAAAGTTGTAACTCTCCTCAAGGTAAAAGACACTTTGGAGCTGGTCTCCTCACCTCAAATTTTGGAGCTTCTTTCCAGGAGTCCAGTTGAAAGGAAAAGGAAAGCCCTCGGAAATTGAGATGAAAAAGTTGTTCAGCTGCATTGTACACTAGAATGGAGGGTAAAGGGATCATGACAAATCGTTAAAAATTAGTGAACTTCATCAAGTAAACAAACTATAAAGCATCTTCTTAGAACCCTCCCACCATTGCTGTACATACAAAATCAAATTTACCTTAAGTCAACTCACTTAATTCAGGCTTAAAATTTATAATATAATATTTTTATTCAACTTTCTGTAAACACACAGATCTCACTTACCTCCAGGGTGGGTTGCTCCAAATGACTGGTCAATCTGCTCTATGGTTGGAGCTATAGCCTGAGAGTTGAAGTGTACACCACTGCAGTGGAATAAAGAATAAATCAAAGATTTAAAAAACAATACAGATTGGAGACTAACCCAGGAGGGGGAAAAACAGGTTATAATGTCTTTGTCTTCCCCATCTCCTCCACAATAAAGTCAAGCAAGTGGTCTATTATAGTTGGAAATCATGCACAATGGCAGACCGACAGCAGAAATGCTTGATTTGTTTGTAGTTTGCTACAAACTGAATACATAAAGGGACAACACTTCACTGTTCCTCCCAGTGATATGGTCATTCTTTCCACACCCTCCCCATTGCTCGACACCACACAGTTTGAGTGAGGTTCCCTGTGAAGGGGCAAAGTACAGTATTGGAACCCAAACCCTCGCTTTCTTCCAGTGCTTCTGCTCTACAGAGTTTAAAAGTTCACCCCAAAGATATGGTTGAACTTCAGTACTTACATGTGCCCCAATATTTGTGAAAGCTTGAAAGGGAAGTGTTATGATGCCCTTAGAATCAAATGCCCTGCACCACTCCTACACCAGTGCTTCCAATAACTCTTGTTTAATGATTTGAAGCAAGATTTTGGAGGTGTTTCCCCTTCCAGATCCAGATGCAATTCGATCAATTACACCAAACATGAAGGGAGAGTTTTGATGGAGATTAGTGAGCACCAATCAAGGTCAGTCCTGGTGGTTTATGTATCCAATGGATAAATTGTAGGGTAGAAACTTCACTCAGGAGGCCAGTCAAAGAATTCCAAAAGAACACAAAACAACCTTGTGTGGTCCTGATCAGCTGCCATGAAGCTGGCTCTCAAATCAGTTTCACAATTGCCACTGAGCACTGTACAATCAGATGGATTGAAAATTAAGTTAGTAAACTGCATTTGTGGGCTGAATGGACCATACATTCAAGATCTGAAAAACTGTTTGAGAAATTGAGACTTTTATTAACTTGAAAACAAGTGGCCTTATGATGAAAACCAATTGAAAGTTATACACACATTACCACAGCTTCTTTTAGAAACAATATACCTTTTTAACATCACATATGATGGTTTATGGAGAGTACAGCGATCCCCAATTATATATGCAGTTTCAGAAAATGCATTGTCTCAATATATTATATTATATTATGTTATATAATGAGCCATGGTGAAGGTGGAGAGGAGAGAAGGGGGAGAAAGGGGGAGAGAAGGGGAAGGAGGGCATAGGTTTAAGCTGAAAAGGGAAGATTTAAAAAAGCCTGAGGAGCAACTTTTTTTGGTGGGTGTATGTAATGAACTGCCAGAGGAAGTGGTGGAGGCAGGTACAATTACAACATTTGAAAGGCATTTTGATAGATACATGAATAAGAAATGTTTAGAGGGATATGGGCCAAATGCAGGCAAATGGGACTAGTTCAGTTTAAGAAACCTGGTTGATGCAGATGGGTTGGACCGAAGAGTCCATTTTCATGCTGTATGACTCTATGGCAAAGTGTTCCAAGGGATTGAAGGGATACTGGAACAGTAGCACATGATGGATCAGCTACAATCTTGATTGAAGAAGAAGCAGGCTCAAAGTAACAAACGGCCTTCTCCAGCTCTTATTTCTCTTGTTTTACAACATTCATTCATACATATAATGGGTGCTTATGATATTTGAAATGGTAGAGAAAGAGATTGCGACCTCTGAATCAGTCACGAAGGCACATAACGTAGTCACTGAGTTCAGCAAATCCATATCAGCTCTACAGGGGAATTCAGTCAACCTCATTCTATCCCATGCAAGTTCAATTCCTTCAAATTTCTAGACAGTATCTTTTTGAAGTCATGGTGTCCAGTTGCATAACCCACCCTTGCACCTGCAAATTCTCATTATCACTTTCCTGTTTAGAAAAAAGTACTTCATATCACAGGCCCCAACCCATTCCACTAAAACTTGCCCAAAGACTTAAACCAGAGGTCCACTGTCCTTGTACCATTAGTTAGTACAAACAGCTTTATTCCCTACTTTATCTAAACCCAGCTTCTCAACCTAATCTTGTTACTGAAATCACTTACCACTGGAACTATTCTAGTAAATCTCCTCTCCACCCTCAAGGATATCACATCCTTCCAAGTGTGGTCACCAGATTTAGTCTGATCAAAGCTTTATAAAAGGTTCAGAACAACTTATTGAATGTCTCAAATCCAAAGCGTAATTATAAGTCCTGAAATAACTCCTCACGTAAACAAACAACAGTGTGGTTCCCTAAACATTTAATGTTTCATCTTTCATCCATAATTAGCTGTAGCCCTTGTGGGCCATAGACATTCCCTTCTGTTCTCCGCAATTTTTGATGTCACTGTCATTCCTCCCTCCATCCACCGATCCAATCCTTCTCTAATGAGTTGTGTTCTTGTCTGGATGTTTTAACTTCTATTGCCACCTACGTTAGAATCACCCAGCCCTTTCTAGTAGTTGTATTTTCTCAATATCCACAAGACAAATTTTCATCTTCCCACTTAAAACTCTATAAACTTTTCCCTCAATTGACAGTGGACATACACTGAAATACTTTCCTATGGCAGTGATATGCAAATACTAATTACAAAGTAGAAGTAAGGCATCTTTGTTGCAATATCCTTGTTTCTTTACTGTGACAAGTGCTGGTAAATTGCCAAAATAAATATTCTGTGTGGATGGCTAAGAATAAATTGTAATGAAGAGAGTAGTTTTATTGGCCGATAAAACTATGCTAACATGGCTGTATTGCCAAAGTGCAAATTCTTCAAAAGAGATCTTACTTTTAGCTGCATCATAGTTGGAGGACAGGAGACTCTGAAGCATCCTGAACTTTCTTCACAAAATCACTTGGTGGAAACGTCTGAGCAGCATCCACCAGAGCCTACCCTACTGACCCCAACTGCCAAAAGTGCAGGAAAATACAGCGAAAGGATACGAATATCAAAAATGTTCAATCTAGCAATTGAGATTGCCAAAAATCTTCAAGAAACTGGGGAAAGATAACCCTCAGATGAATTCTAATGCTTGGATGTTTGTTTTAAGTCAATGTTCTGATATGTCATTTGAGAGAGAGTTTCTTAAAAAAACCAGACCCACTAAGATTTGGAAAGCCAGGGGCATATGGGACAGGCAAGTGCTGTAAGCCAGAAAAAAAAAAAATGCATGTCCAAGTCCTGCTCCACTGAGTTGAAATCCAAATCTCACCTTCACTGGTCTAGAATGAATCAGCTGGAATGTTTTATAGCAGAGGGGAAAAAAACTCAGCAATTTAAAATAAAGCTTTTTAGTACACGATTAATGAAGATTGAGGAGAAGGGAGCTTAATTGAGATGAACATGACGTGTTGCATTTTGGTAGGGCAAATTAGGGCAGGACGTATACAAATAATGATAGGGCACTGGAGAGCATTGCCTAACAAAAAGAGACTTAAGTGTGCAGGTGTAGAGTTCCATGAAAGCGGAGGCACAGGTAAGCAGGATGGTGAAGATGGCATCTGGTCTGCTTGCCTTCAATCGGTCAGTGAATTGAGTATAGGAGTTAGGATGTCATGTTGTAGCTGTTCAGGACATTGGGGATGCCACTTTTGGAATACTGCTTTCAATTCTGGTCTCCCTGCTATAGGAAAGATTTAGAAACTTGAAAGGGTTCGGACAAGTTTAGCAAAGATGTGGTCAGGATTGGAGGGTTTGCGTTATAGGGATATGCTAAGTAGGTTGGGGTATTTTCCCTTGAGCATAGGAGGCTGAAGGGTGACCTTAGAGGTTTATAAAATCACAAGCAGCATGGATAGTGTAAAAAGTCAAGGTCTTTATTCCCCAGAATAGGAGTCCAAAACTAGAGGGACTGTGTATAAAGGCAAGGGGCAGCTTTTTCATGCAGAGGGTTGTGCGTGCATGGAATGAGCTGCCAGAGGTGGAGGAGACAGGTATATTTACAATATTTAAAAGGCATTTGGATGGGTACATGAATAGGAAGAGTTTAGAGGGACATGACCAAACGCTAGCAGATGGGAATAGATCAGTTTAGGATATTGAGTCAGCATGGACAAGTTGGACCAAAAAGGTCTGTTTCAGTGTTGTATAACTTTACGGCTATGAACTCCTAAATTAGATCATATCTGATGAAAGAATGATACTGTGTTGTCTGTGTACACAAGGAATAATTACAGTAACTTTATAGGTCTTCCATTTCAAACGGTCACAAGCACCAACTTACTTTTCAAAAGGCACACACTACGGTACTAGCATTGCAAGTCTAACTCCAAAATCTGCAGAGTCTGCAGCAATGAAAGAGTAATTTGATTATTGCATCAAAAGCTGGTGTCGTGGGCTTTAATTGGAATCCAAAGTCTGTTTCTCAAACTGTTAAACTTCAGACATGGTTTGAATGACCAGTTCTGGGAATTTTTTTTATTCATTTGTGGGATGTGGGCATTGCTGGCTGGCCAGCATTTCTTGCCCATCTCTAGCTGCCCTTGAGAAGGTGGTGGTGAGCTGCCTTCTTGAACTGCTGCAGTCCTCCTGCGGTGGGTTGACCCACAATGCTATTAGGGATGGAATTCCAGGGTTTTGACTCAGCAACAGTGAAGGAACGGTGATACATTTCCAAGTTAGGATGGTGAGTGACTTGGAGGAAAACTTGGAGGTGGTGGTGTTCCCACATGTCTGATGCCCCTGTCCTTCGAGATGGAAGTGGTCGTGGGTTTGGAAGGTGCTGTCTGAGGATCTTTGGTGGATTTCTGCAGTGCATCTTGTAGATAGTACACACTGCTGCTACTGAGCGTCGGTGGAGGAGGGAATGAATGCTTGTGGATGTAGTGCCAATCAAGCGGGCTGCCTTTTCCTGGATGGTGTCAAGCTTCTGGTGTTGTTGGGGCTGCACTCATCCAGGCAAGTGGGGAGTATTCCATCACACTCCGGACTGGTGCCTTGTAGATGGTGGACAGGCTTTGAGAAGTCAGGAAGTGAGTTACTCGCCGCAGTATTCCCAGATTTTGGCCTGCTCTTGTAGCCACTGTGTTAATGTGGGGGGGTCAAGTTGAGTTTTTGGTCAATGATAAACCCAGGATGTTGATAGTGGGGGATTCAGTGATGGTAATACCATTGAATGTCAAGGGGGAGTGGTTAGATTCTCTCTTATTGGTGATGGTCATAGCCTGGCATTTGTGTAGCATGAACGACACTTGCCACCACTTTGTGAAGGAAGTTGGATTTGAGCTTTGGTCTCTTCCTGTGCTCAACTTGCTAAGTTTCTGTTTGGTCAAAGTATAAACCTTGCTTTGCCCTTATAAGTTACCATGGTGTTCCATCATTAAAGCTAAGTGCAAAAAGTCTAGATATAGTTCTGATTTACCAGCGGGGGGGGGGGGGGGGGGGGGGGGGGGGAAGGGGCAAGCAAGAAAACAATTCAATTACATTACCTTTAAAAAGGTTTAGGAACAAAAAGATAAATGTGAATATAGCATGTGGTCTTTTGGGGTTATTCTGCCAGAAAATTCTCAGTTACATTTTTCAAAAGCATTGGCAAAATTACTTTCATTGGTCTATAGATAGGATTCTAGCAAAATTGTCACGAGGGAAACAGTAAAAATACTCACCAGTATTTCAATTTAACTTTACTCAAGTCATAAACTTCAATGACCTAAACGGGTGGGAAATAAAAAAAAGATCAGTTTTACTATTGTCTCACATATCCCATTAGATTTGGAGAGCGAGATCCCTCTCTGGTGGCACTCCACGTACATTGCAATTCTGTGTTGTTTAGACTCCTCCCTACCACCCTGTTGTAAATAATAGGGCACGGAAAACAAATGAGTTGTGTTGTATGTTTAAGTAGCTGCCATGAATCCTGGAGTGATCAACGCAAAAATTAGATGAACATGTACCTTGTTGAAGAACTTTTTAAAAAAAAAAAAAAAGCCACTCTCCATCAAAGGTGTTTGAGTAACTGGAAAATGCCCCAAGCTTTACCACCTTCCAACTTCATTGAGGAATGTTAGCACCGGTACCCACAACTTAGGGAGAGATAGAGAATCACATTTGGTGACAGTGCAGAAATTCACCAAAAGGAAGCTACTTACCATGTCAGGTGAGAAAGAAAAAAAGCATAAAAGGTAGGAGTATCACATCACTGAAGTTGAATGCCTTTAAATAATGCTGCTGGGAAAGAAAGGCTCAAAACGATTTCGCTGTATATTTTAAGAAGTTTCCAAAGTGTCATACATACTTGGCTTTCTGTCATAAACTTATGATTTTGTTAGAAGTACATTAACAGTCTTGTGTGACTATATTCAGTAACTAACCACAGTAACCAAAGTGCAAAAATTAAACTTAGTCTGTTAAGTCAACTTCTAGTCTGGGATCTAACTCACGCAGATTTGATCATAAGGCATATCAAATTGTGAAAAATAATTTTAAAATAGCTCTTCAACTTTTTTCACTCAGTGATGAATGTGGGGATGGGGGAGGTGACAGGCTGTGGGTAGGTAGCAGAAAAATTAATATTAAAGCAGAATTGTTATTAAAATGAGAGAATTAACTATCAAACAAACTGATGGATAAAATAGTCTTTAATCTGGTTTGGAGTTGATCATCCTGATGTCTTTGTCAGGAAATCTCTGCAGGTGTCAGCGTAATTGGTCTATTAATACCAGGGCACTGAGAAGTCTCAATTTAAGTTAAAGAACCATGATTTAGTGTTGTGCTTCTCATACTTGTAGCCAGTTATGCCAATTTGTGTATACTTTATCCAAACACACGTTAAAAAAGACAAGCATAATAATCCATTGCTTTTCATGGCTCAATCCTGCAATACTGCACACACCCTCTATTGTACTTAACTGTTTACTGATACCACTGCCATTAATAGCTATGAAATTAACTAACAAGGAATAGCCTGATCACATCTTCAGGATGGCCAAACACAGCCACGGATTGTGTAAGGACCGCTGTCTTTTTATTTTGGTGTTTTTAGAAAGTGGACTGAAATGAAATTACTGGTCACATGTACTGAGGTAAAAATGTTGTCTTACATGCTTTACAGGCAGATCATACTTTACGAGTGCATCAGGGTAATAGAAGAGAGCAGGATACAATATTATAGCTAAAGAGGTTGCAGAGAGAGAAAAATCAATATTAACATTAAAGATCCATTTAAAAGTCTGATAATAGCAGGGAAGAAGTGGTTCTTGAATCTGTTTGTACATGTATACAAACTTTTATATCTTCTGCTCATAGAAGAGGGTGGAAGAGAGTATAACCGCGTTGGGGGAGGTGGCGGGGGGCGGGGGGTGGTGTCTTTGATTATTTTGGTTGTTTTCCCAAATGCAGCAGGAAGTATAGAATGAAGACAATGGATGGAAGGATGGTGTGCATGTTGAACTGGATTGTATGCAACTCCTTTGGTCTTGGGAAAATAAATTGTCATACCACAGTGTAATGCATCCAGGTAAGATGCTTTCTATGGTGCATCTATAAAAATTTCTACAAGCCTTTATGGACAAGTCAAATTTCCTTGGCCGTTAAAGGGAAGTAGAGGCATTGCTGTGCTTTCTTGACCGAAGTGTCAAAGTGGGTGAACCAGGACAGATTGTTGGTGATTGTCACTCCCAGGGACTTTATGCTCTTGACCACTGCCACCTCAGCACCATTGACACAGACAGGGGCCTGCCCTCCACTTTGCTTCCTGAAGTCAATAACCAGCTCCTTTGCATTGTTGACGTTGGAGAGATTGCCGTCTTTACATCATGCTGTCGAGCACTCCATTTTGTCGTCGTTTGAGATCCGGCCTACAATGGTGGTGTCACCAGCAAACTTGCAAATGCCACTGGTGCAGAATTTGGCCACATAGTCGTGTGTATAAGGAGTATAGTAGGGGACCAAGTACACAGCCTTGCAGGGCACCGATGTTGAGGATTATCACAGAGGTGGTGTTGTCACCTATCCTTACTGACTGCGGTCTGTTGGTCACCAAGTCCGAGAATCCAGTCAGAGGGCGTAGCAGACACCTAGGCCCCTGACACAAAAACAAAGTTGCTCAAAAAGCTCAGCAGGTCGGGCAGCATCTGCGAAGGAAAAAACAAAGTTAACGTTCTGAGGAATGGTCACCGAACCCGAAACACTAACCGTTTCTTCCTTCACAGATGCTGCCCGACCTGCTGAGATTTTCCAGCAACTTTGTTTTTGTTCCTGATTTACAGCATCCGCAGTTCTTTCATTTTTTTTTTAAACCTAGATCCCGGAGTTTGGAGAGGTGTTTGTTTTGAATTATGGTGTTGAAAGCAGAACTGAAGTCAATAAGTAGGAGCCTGACATAGGTATCCTTACGGACCAGCTGTTCAAGGGATGAATATAGGGCCAGGGAGGTGGCATCTGCCATGGACTTGTTGCGCCAGTAGGTGAATTGCAAGGGATCAAGGCAATCTGAGAGGCTGGAATTGATGTGCGCCACAAAGCACATCCTAATTATGGCACAACCATAAGCACAACGTCTCAAAGCACTTCCTAATTATGGCGGTCAGAGCCACAGGTGGTAGTCATTGAGCAACATTACATGATTTTTCTTCAGCACTGGGATGATGGCGGTTTTCTTGAAGCAAGCTGGGACTTCAGATCACAGTAAGGAGAGGGTGAAGATGTCTCCAAATATTCCCGCCAGCTGGTCCACACAGGATCTGAACGCATGACCAGGGACTCCATCCAGGCCAGTCACTTTCCGTGGCTTCACCCTTAGGAAGGCCGATTTAACGTCTGTGGCAATAAGGAGAATATAGGTGTATCAGAGGCTGATGGGACAGGTGATGTCGTTTCACTTCTGCTCGAAGTGAGTGCAGAATGCATTGAGCTTGAGAAGGGATGTACTGTTGCCCATGATTTTGTTTGACTTTGCTTTGTAGCCTGTTATATTGTGTAAGCCTTGCTGCAAAATAGCATTGGAAAGAGCAGCTGTAGTTTTAAAAAATCAAGCAACCTGACAATCATCATATAAATAACTGTGTGAACAAGTAGTAATTGAAGTTTGAGATGTAGGCAATTTAGACTGAGGGATATATAGATACTGCTTTTGCTGATAACAAGTTGATTAGTCTATGGACTAGTGACCAGTTATTACTGACAGAAACCATTGTGCCATCCACAACTGCAATTGGTTCTCAAGTAAGTGAACAAGGTAGGAGTGAGAAAAGTTCAATTCTTTCCCAGCTTGGAAGCAGTATGTGTTGAAAACAGTGTAAACCTCAAGAAAACAAATTCATCTTTCCTGCAAAGGTTGTTGTAAACTGTGATGTTTAATTAAGTGAACCAGCCAACTTTGGCCTCTTTGCAACCAGTGGAAGGATTTAGACAATTGAAGAAACGTGCCAACCAGTAGAAGAGTCATAAGGATCATCTCAACAATATAACCTGGGAACCAAAAATTTAGAATGGTGTTTCCCATTTCACTTCCTTGATCCATAATGTATTTTACTTTGTCTGCGAGTTTATCAAGGGATTAGAGATTAAAATATTAGTGTTATATGCCAAATGTTTACAACTGTATACCTGTTGTTAGAGTCTTTTTTCTAGCAGTAATTTTTGTTCACTGGAGAAACCCGATCCATGCTCTGTATTAATCTGGGTCTGAAAGTCAGGTAAATTGGTGAACTGTGTACTTTGTAAACATCTGACTTTTGGTGACAATTCCAGGAATAGCGAAGCTTGATTTCTGCACACTGCCCAAGTGAGTCATAACAATTACTTCTGCATAACTGGGTGGTAACATTCTGTAATTTTTTTTGGGGGTGGGGGAGGGAATGGGAGACAATCACAGGAGAACAAGCGAGGAGCATGGGAAGAACATTCTCTCTTTCAGACTTCCTCATTAATACAAATGTCATGGTCTACCATTCCATTCTTTTCAAAATCCCAAGAACTCCAATTAAATTATCCCATTGTCATATATCTGTATTTCAGGGCTAGAATTTCATTTATCAAATTGCTCTTATTTACAACAATTCAAGATCTCATAAACAACAATGTTAAAAAATGAATATTTAATCTGTTTCATAATTTTGAACAAGGGATCAATGTTACATAGGATACTTGGGCAATTTGGCAGTTCTTCAAAGAAAACCTTTTCCAACAATTTGTGGTGGCAGACAGGACCTTGGTTTGAAGTATCATCAGTGCTGCACTGGACTATACACACAAAATTCCGCACAAACCCATAATGTTTGACTCAGAGGCCTGAACACTAGATGACACTGGTTTCTTATTGTCTGCACAAAACTCGAAACTGTTAAGTGTCAATTTAAAACCAAAAGGAGAAAAGAAGGGCTGATGCACAAGTTGAAACAAAAAGACACTGTGGCATTCCCCATGAAACCAGGAATGCAACAAGATTGTGCCATTCGACAAAAACATTCTGTATTCCAAACAAATCTGAATTTTCTGAATGCCTTAGCTCAACCCAGAAAAATAACAGGACAAAGATTGACACCACATCAACTTCAGATGATTGAAAATATTGATTTTCTGTTTTGACACTGAAACAACACAACACAGCCATAGTTTCTCTCCCAAAGTTGAATGGCACTGCCCTGTAAGGCTAAAAATGAAGATTTGCTCTTGTAAAGCTCAAACAAAATGAAGATTTGCCTCAAGTCC